GATGTGCCGAAATTTTATGCTGGTTTGAAATTGGAACTTTTGACATAAACAGATTAAAAATTCGTTTATTGTAATTTTTTGCAGGGAAAACTCCCGAATGACGCCCATTTGCTACGTTTTTTACGTGCTCGCGATTTTGATGTAGCTCGTGCGAGTGATATGGTGCAGAAGAGTGTTAAATGGCGAAAACAACATAATGTGGATAAAATATTGCAGGAATTCGAAACACCTTCTATTTTAAAACAATTTTTCCCTGGTTGTTGGCACTATAACGATAAAGAGGGCAGGTAAAGCGTTTTTCCTAGCTTTACATATCTAGTAAGATTTGTTTCCAACAATTCATTGAGAATCTAAAGCAAGACTAACCATTTATCACGATAATAAAATGAATCGGCAGGTTTTCTTATTGCATGTACATTATTTAAATTATTTTAACTCAAGAAGGATTCATCTGACGAATCTTATATAGCTTTTAGACCGGTATTCGTTCTGCGTCTAGGCAAGCTCGATATGAAAGGTTTATTGCGCACATGTGGTATGGAAACGATTATGAAATTCACATTATCAGTAGTCGAGCAAGGGCTTATTAAAACGGCTAAAGCTACAAAAATGCTTGGTACTCCCATAAGGTTACCTTCTCCTGTTTCTTAGTTGTTTTCTATGATTTCATCCAATTTTGCTTGTTTTTGACATTATATAGATTTTTAGTGTGCCTCTTGACTTTCTTTCAGAGGAAAATCTTTGTTTCTGATTCAGCTTCAGGAAGTTTAGGGGAAATCAGCCTTCCATTTGTTCTGGAAAGGCGATATATTCAAATCGTTTTTCATTTTTAACAAGTCGACCAAAGCTAAATTTGAAAAATCCAGTGAAATGAAATAATTTCAGTACATGGACATTACTGGTTGATTTGGAAGGTCTAAGCATGAGACATCTTTGGCGTCCAGGAATTCAAGCCTTATTACGAATAATTGAAGTTGCGGAAGCACATTATCCGGAAACAATGGGACTGGTTTTGATAGCTCGAGCACCACGTGTTTTTCCAGTCCTGTGGACATTGATCTCACCATTTATTGATGAAAATACAAGAAAAAAATTTATGATAAATGCGGGTGAACCGGTTATTTCTGAGCTTAGAAAATATATCGAGGAGCAATACATTCCAGAATTTTTGGGTGGAACATGCTTGTGTATGGCGCCGGAAGGTGGTCATATTCCCAAGAGCTTATATAAACCGGTGGAAGAAGTGAGGGTTTTAAACTTGAATTTTTGTTGCAGAAGTTTAATTTGGCAAGTTATAAAGCGATTTCAATTTCTGGGAACTAGTTTCATCTGTGTTAAAAAACAAACCATTTATATGATTATAGACCGTAATAGAAGACGATGTATTGAAATCAACCTACCAATCAGCGAACATCTATAAAGGAACACCGCATGAAGTGGTCGTCAGAGTGACTGCTGAGGGATGCGTCCTCACATGGGACTTCGATATTTTAAAAGTTTCTTTAATAATTATTTCGTTACTGCTAATTCTGTGTTGATAAATCAATGTAATCAGTACGAGAAAATCGTTAAGTGATTTTTGGAGTTAATGAGATCGAGCACTACCGAAAGAGAAGCTAATCAAAAGCTCTTAGATCTCGTTATACGTTTCGGTTTAGTATGCAGTTGTAATTTAACATTTTCAGGGTGAATGTGAATTCTTGATTTACTATACGGAAAAGCAAGTAAAGGCGGTCACTACGCCGAATTCACCTTCCGTTCTTACTTCTGTTGAAAGAGTAACGGCAGCTATCGGAAGTGCTGTTACGAATCCTGCCTTGCTTTGCGATCCGAAATTAACTATTGGAGTTAATTTGAAGTGAGTTTTCGATTGGTTTTTCTTATTTGACCAGCAGTTATCTTGAAAAAACAAATTAGAAAAGATTTTTGCTTCTGTTTTGCTCAGTAGAAGAGATTTACTTTTACCGCTGTTTTCGATGACGTAAGTTTGCAGATTAGAAGAAAAGCCTGTACAATTCACAGAGGGCGATTCAATGCAAGGGTCGCATTATTGTCCCCAGGCGGGTTATTATATCCTGCAGTGGCGCCATCTCGAAGCAGTACAAAATCAGTCCTTCGATTTTTCCTTATCTGGTCATAAGTGCAAAATTATGTATTATCACGAATTATTGGATTCCTTGGATTTTAGGCAAGTTAATGATTATATAAAATTTAGTTTAATGTAATCCTTAGATTAATTTTGTGGCACTGATTGCCGGCTAGAGCGCAATTACTGGAACTGAGAGACTTATCTCCACTTGTATAATTAAAATCGCTAGAACTGTGCGGTAATATATAGTTGGAATATGGTGGCACGTGTATCATTTCCATAGTTTTCTTAAGCAGGAAGTCACCTTCATCAGTCAGTACGGAATCAGTTTTTTGTCAGGTCACAAGTGCAAAATCATGTATTATTTTATTTTTAGAACACTCTCAGTTCTAACACTTTTCCGAGATAGTGTTAAATATTTTTTAAGTCTTCTATCTTTTATCCTCAAATAAAACTAAATAAACGGTTGAGCTTAACTCATTTTCAAGGATTTATTTGACAGATTAGACGAGAAAGATCGTAAGTTGCTGATATTCGTATTTTTCCTTGTGATTGGAGAAGAGGGAGGAGAAAAGTGAAAGGAAAGCTGAAAGATGCTGGCGGTGTTTATATTTTTACTGAATGCTTTAATGCTTTAACCAATTTGGTAATTTCAAAATAGTTCATTTTAGGGGTTCAGTGGCTTCATTAGAATCATGCAGATCATCATTCTCATCACTTGCTGCTGCTGCATCATCTATTACTACTCCGATATCACCTCGAAAGAATTAGCTACAAGCAGTTCAAACAAAACTAGCTAACATTTTTCGAACGCAATGGTTCTCTTGTTTCGAAGAAATCTACTTAGTAATTTTTTGGCGATGATAGTTTTCTTAATATTGTATTGATTTTGTCTTATCAAAACATCGTGGTGCTTTGCATTGTTGAAATCATCGATCCGTTGGCCGATCTGATGATAATAAATTATTACCAGTGGCCGTTTTCGTTCTGGTAGGACAGCAGCGTCAATAAACTTTGGGAAAAGTGTTCCAAGTGAGTTGAATTAGTGAAGAGAACCCCTTAGACATACTACTTTGATCGGACTATTCTGGACTGCTTAATATTTCGACGGAATTCTAGTTGTGCAATTATTTACCCGAAAAATGTAGCAGTGAGGTGTTTCATCGTTGTTTTATTTTTTCTGGACTAATGTTCGTTTTTAATACCTCTTGAATACTAGTATGCTTGTTGTGATAGGATATTGGCACAAGAGTTTAGAAAGAGGTGTTTATGGAAGTTTGAGGAAATATGTACTGTTTCATTTTAAGGTAATGGACTGTCTAACCAAATCAAGTATTAATGTTGCTACTTTCCCGTTCAGCGTCATAGGTTATATTGTATTTAGGATTATTTGTTTCTGTAAAATCAGAATGAATAATGAAATATTCATGTCGTAGTTTTATTTCGTTTTTCTTACTTTCACTTAATGTAACTTCTCTAATTATCCATAACACATGTGATTGCATCGCTTGCTCAAAAATGACCTGCTAGGACTTATCAGGAAATAAGTATGTTATTATTATGATTAGCATGGTATATGTCGATGATAATTTTATGAATGCTATTCTTTTTTCTGTGATTTATGTCCTTGTCCATTTCCGGCCATGCTATTAATGTGAATATTTTTCTATGGAGTTGAAGTATTTGTTGAATCAGGCACACTTTGAGTGAAATTTTTAGTAGTGTTCGAAATTCAAATACCGATGTAGAGCATCGATGAAATCAGCAGCCATATTTACATAATTTTCAAAAAAAGAACCGATGTTTTGGGACGTCTGAATGAATGCCGAACTTTTTTTCTGGTGTATTTCATGTAATTTACTGATTGCGAAGCTGCTTGTGACCTACAGAGTCCCCTCCTTTGCGAGTCATTCTCCTTGTTGACTTCAGTGTGGGTATCCCTCTTCTTTTGATTGATTCGCCATTTGTTATGTGATTTGTTTAGCTTACTAAATCTTCTATTTTTTGCGTTGTCGTTTGATTACACTAAAAGCAAATTAGCATTTCACGCTAATTAGATTTTCGAATCCTGGCTGGTCTTGACCTAGGGTGAGTTCAACCACGGGTTCGATTTATTTTTTAACTCGGATTTCTTAGTTGAGAATTTCACTATTAACATCTTATGTATCTTATGTGGGGAAGAGATTGCTTTGGCTGGTTCAGCACATGCTAAATTATATTAGTATGGACTGGCATATGAGGACCAAAATATGTGTTATTTGTGGGTTTTTGCCCGTGTGATTTGATCGGCATTGTCGTTAAAGTTTTCCTAAATTTCATTTGAAAAAAGTCAGTAACATGCTTTTTGCAATTCTAAAGCAGAATTTTTCTGTTACGGAAGAATCTATCTGCTTCATTTTCGAGCTGTTCAATTTTTCAGTATGTAACGATATTTCGTTGTGGTGCCAACTAAAGACTACTAGTTATTTTAATAAAATATTGTGGTGTAGATGTATAACTTAATGTGTTAACGGAATCTATTTTTTATGAGCCGAGTTTTAGCCAGTTGAATGATGGCTTCGACTTGGAAAAGTAACTCAAAATATTTGGTGGTAGCGTTGCTACAAGCTTGTATTCGCGTTCAAAACTTGATATTGTTTTTTATTTAGAACCTCTCGTATAACTCGCCGTAAAGGCATACCACTACCATTATTATAATGTGCGAAGTGCTGACGTAAAGTCAATGAACTCTGCTTTGATAGTATGGAAAATGTCGCAGTGGTATATCAGTGACGGAGGATTTCACTCCTCAGACTGGAAGGATATCTGGGATGTTGAAATTCCCAGTTTCGATAAGAATATTGAGTAGAAATGATTGACGAAGAAGCGGGTGTATTATGTTGAGGATATTTATATATATTGTAAGAGTTTCTGGCGATGTCAAGAGACGGGAGAATGAAATACTAAACAGTCTATTTTAAGCCTTCCTACTACATTGAATTCACACAACGCTCTGCAATGCATTTCGAAGAACAAACTGAACAACTGGAGGTCATCCGACAGGTTCTCTCCGCCTGCCATAAGCCAAACAGACGGGTTTTTCCCACATTTTAATGCAAAAGAAGAAATGGGTATCGCAGCATTTCTACTGTTGTGTAAGAGTAGCTGATGGCTAGTTGGCTTGTTTTTCTTCAAGTGCTTTTTGTGGATTGCCTCTGTCACTTCATTTCAGGTATGTTTTTTAAACATGTGTGTACATTTTTTAGGTTAGTAAAAAAATTAGCTTCTGCAAATTTCACAATTAGGACAATGAAAGTCAGAGGTTTGTTTGGCGATCACGTAAAAATCCATTGCAAAACTGCAATCGAAATCGGAAATTAAAGTTGTTGGTCAAAGAAAAACAAATTTATAAACCAAGTCAGTTTCTAGATGACCATCCTGTAATTGAATTCATGTAGCGGTAGCTACGGTTTTCGCAGCAGGTGCGTGAAGGTGAAAAATGGTTATAGTTATTTAACGCCGATTCATGATACAGCTAGAACTGCAGGAGGTTGATTTCTGCTTCTGTGTTAATCAAATGGAGGAAAAATATCGGATTGTATGTAAATGACAACAAAAGGAGACAAAAAATTGACAAAAAGTCTTCCTGTTTTTCCAAGAAGAATGTGAAAACATTTACGTAATTTTTGCAAGCAACCGAGAGAGGGATGAAGGGCTAGGCGGTCCAACGAACCTTAATTATATATCTTTGGCTTCTTGGATGGGGATTCCATATTACTAGAGATTCCATAATTCCATAATATCCGATTATACTTATTTCATTGAACAATTTAATTCTTCATAAAAGATAACTAACTACCCACGTCTTCAATGTCGACGGGACGAGCAGCAAGGATTCTTAGCAATCGAGGACTCTCGCTGTTTATCACTTTATTGTCTCGGATGGTTTGATTTTAGTTCATTACATTAATTTATTATTAGCCATTAGTATTTCATTTACCAGAGACAATAACTTTGAACCACTAGTATTTTCTCTACTTACTGGTTTTGCACACATGATAAATTATGCAAAGATGAAATCGAAAATGCCAATTCTTTCTCCGTATTTAATTATTACTCTCTTCTAGTGTTGAATCCAGTTCAATTTCCTATTATAGTAATTAATAACACCCGTGGCCCTATTATAGTAATTAATAACACCCGTGGCTGTGACACTTCATGCAATGATAATCAATCATTCTTTCGACTGATACCTTAACACGATAATACGATTCTCATGTTCATATATAAGATTGTATGTACAAAGAGCACAAGAAATAGTAGTTGGTGTTAGAACAGATGCAACTGAAACCAGATAGAAATTTTCGAACTCATTTTTCTCATGAACTAAATTTAAACAATAATTTAGGTTGTGTAGCAGCATGCCAGTATCAACAAGGACAGTATCAATTACAATTCGCAAAAGATCAACAATACGTCCATCTTCAACTTACATATCTTCGTTATCCAGCAGGAACTAACACTTGGACTGGCGTTGCTTTTGGACAGTCTATGGTTAATATATGTTTAAATAAATTATGCAGATTTAAAACTTAAGATTCTGATCTCAAACTTAATGCACAAGATATTGGATTTATACGCATTACTAAATTTAACCGTTTTTGTATTCTTTCAGAATGATGGTCTTGATTTCATTGGCGTACGTGTACTGGACAACAAGGTATTAGTAAGTGACGAATTTGTCCGAGGCTTTAGATCACCAAAGTTGGATGCTAGGCAAAATGTCATTGTCCAGTACGCTTCACTGCATAATGGCGATTTGCGGGTACGACTTGCTAGACCAATACTTTCAAATGATACTGCTGATTTCTCGCTGGCTAGTTGTTTGCCTTGGCAGGTTTGTTCCGTCATTTGATTAATTGGGGAAAAACTGGCATAATTTTCAAATTAATTTTAAGACCGAACTACAATTATGCTGATTTGGCTGCTTGTTTTGACAAAACGTTTTAACTAAATGGACTAGATATACACAGTGTTTGATCTATGCTGCTTATGCCTGGCTATTGATAACGGTGAATGTATTTGTGAAATTCCGTGGTTAAAATACTCCGTAGAAGTAATTAAACTAAATTTTCCTTCAGTTTCCAATTGCGTTATCGCCACTCGATCCTACTGGACAAATTCGTAAACACCAAATCACTCCTCGGAGAATGATTGTATGCATGGATCGATGTCCATGCGAACCTAGTTCTACCCCGAACCAATGCCGGTTATGATTACCTGTGAATCTCGTGATATCCTGAAGTTGATTCATTTTCGTACAGTAGGTTTTATTTTATCAGGACGGTTTGTTTAATAAAATTATTCGCTCAATATATTTTAACGAGGGTTAATGTTTATCTATGTTCATCTTATTTAAATAGTGAGATAATTGAAAAATCTTCCACCTTTTTACAGAATGCTAAGGTGATATTACATCGTAAATAAGTCTCACACCATTAGGATATTATGTATCGCCATGTTTTTTTACGGCAGTCTTACGCTCTGTGTTGTTTATACATTACATTTATTCTTTTCATAGACAGACGAATATCACAGCACGAGGGTGGCATATGGCCAGTCTGGATATAAAAATACCTTTCAAAAGTTCTCGTTCTCGTCCTGTTCAATCTATTCTTGATGAGACAGAAATAAAGCCTTCCAATTATTAGCTCATGAAACAACATACAAAATAGTAAGCTATACTAAAGTAGTAAAGTAGTAAAATAAAATAGTAAGCTACTAAAGTACTATACTAGAGTAAGCTATAATAGTAAGATCCACTTATTTCAACGGTCATATGAAAGGAAAAGGTATTGGTTTCCGAAAAAGATTCAGTTATGCAGTTATTCTGATTCAAAACGACAGATCAGAGAAGTAAGGACAGCTTTTTGCTTGCAAAGAAAATAGTCATCCTTTCTTTATTTTCTTTTTCTTTCTTTATAAGTGCCTCAATACAGGAATGAGTGAATAATTGAACAGGTTAAAAGAACAGTTACTGTACTGAGAACTTTATTATAATAGTACGAAAATTCTAACTACAACAATTGATTTATCGGTTGAATTATGTAATATTTCCTTATTTGAGATACAATTATCTGTAATACTGATGTTACTTGAAAGGTTCTTGGTTGATCCTGGTAGCAACCAACTAAGAGCAATCAACATAGCTTATTGTTCATTCAATAGAACTATAAATCCCAGCTAAAGAGATGATGCTTAATCAGCATATCTCGCACACCTTCTTTTAATGGCTGATCAAACGAACTTCGAATCGTTGTTGGTAATATGTTCAAAGAGGCCTGAAACTAATATGGTTTGTAGGAAAACACATTTTTGTTTTATTTAATCATTCAAGTAAGATTGTTTTCTAGTTAGCATCATTTGAAATCGGAGCTGTGAAGTCCAGGTTTTTTATATTAGATTGAATTATATTAGACTAGCACAATCTGATTCGCATAATAGCTATAGTATTTAGGAGAATGAGATTGTAGAGCATAAAATGAGTATGCATGAAAACTGCTTAAACAGTTATGCAGTTTCGTTATATTTCAAGATTAGAATCAAAAGAACAGATAACTTAGTGCAGCATAACGAGAACTAGTCCAATTATTTTAGTTTTTCCCTTGCAACAGTGGATCGCTTCTGACTCACCTTTTAGAAAAATATGATGGGAGAAAGAATAGTCTAATTTTCATGATCTTTGAGATACTTCTAGATAGTAATTTACTAAGATGTTTCTTTGCAGCAATACCTTTTTTTTCAGTGTCTCATTTAAATTCAAATTCTTTCTCCTTCTGACGATTTCCGCGATTTCATAATCAACACTTAGATTAAAGGAGAATTGTGCCAGAAGTCGTAGTTCACATTTTATCTGTAAAAAAAATATCTTTACATTCTGGCAAATGTAAATAACCGCACTTTTGTTAAATGCGCAGCTCAAAACATTCAATATTTCGTCTGATTCCTGAAGATGTAATCTCTTGACCTAATTGATTTTCGAAGTTATTTGCCTTAATGAAGCATCTAAGATAAATTCAACGAATAGTAGAACTAGGGCAATTCCGAAATTCAAAACATAAATTCCAAAAATGCTAACCTGCTTCCATATGGGTGATCGTATGAATGACCACGAATGGTAAAATTTAATTCTGATCTGCTCTTGTTCCGGACAGCTGCACAACAAATCAAACCACAAATGAAGACACTGTTCGCAAACTGCTCGAGCAATTAGAGAGCGAAATTTTACATCCATTTGGGCACCAACTGCATTATGCGATTCGTTGATCAACTTAACGGCCCGGAATAACAGCTCTTCTGGCGTTAATACCTAATAAGTGTAAGTTGATATCACGCATCATGTGTTTTTGAAATAATTGATTTGAAGCTCTAATTAAATTTATTTTCACCATATTTTTTTTATTTTCAACTCGTAGCAGATTTTTTATTTATTTTTTCTTTTATTTATCCTTTATTTATTTTCTATTTATTTATTTATTTATTTATTTTGTTTACTTTCACCAAATTTATTTTCTAAAATCTGCTACGAGTGTCAGTTTCTTTGCATTCGAACGGTACTGTTTTTGACATCGAGTATTATGATATCTAGATTCCGTACCAACTTGGAAATACCATTAAGTTGATATCGATACCAGATACTGGATCGGTGAGTAAACATCAATTTCCCAATAGAAACTCACAATATCAGTTATCCATCTGTTTATTCACTCAATAATTAAGTTTCCGGTGAAATGATAAAGGTTATCAAGTACTGCATGATAAACACTTTGTAAAAGTTAAATATAACTTCTGCTTTTGCGCTACTCAGGAAAACGGGCAAATTTACGATCAAGTTAAAAAACCAGATCAATGTTCAAAATCTTTCTTAATGATACAGCCAGAAATCAAATAAATTTATTAAAATAAATTTTATATCAAAATGATGTCAAATAAATTTTTATGGTGATCTTCGTTAGATGGAATGACTGATTCTTGGTGCTTACTATTACAGTTAACGCGATCACATGGACTTAATGAAAGAATGCTCATGAAAATAAATACTCTCGTTTGTACACTTGCCTTTCTTTAACCAGCAAACGTCAAGTTCGATTTCAGTAAGAGCCTTAATGCAACCTCCAAGCATATATCTTCGATATGATTTTTACTGTTTCTAAGATTAGCTTTAAATTATAAAATTCGCAAGAATTGGTTTTTTTGAACAATGTAAATAAATAAATGTACAATTCTCTATGGAAGTATTTGTCAAAAAAAATCACCAAGATTTGAGTAAAGACGCAAAATTACCTCTCCATCTTGGTCCAAACTGAATGTTGAACAAAGTGTTAGACGAGAATATACGGCATTATAATGTTTTTTGCACAAAACTTCGTGAAATCTCTTCTAAAAAGAATAAAAAACGATTCGTTTCAAATACTCGAGAAGAGAGAATATTACTTTTCCTTCACATAACGAAAAAATACCGATGAAAAGCCATGGATGTGAAGCGAAATTAAGTACACCCAATGTTCGCAGTCCATGCTCTAAAATCAGCTTCAACGCTGAAGCCAGACGTCTGCGGATTTTGTCCGTTATCTCTGGAAAAACCGCTTCATCACCGTATATCGTGTAGTTACGCCCACGATCATCAACTATCTGAAAAAGTACGGCATAAAGTCCAACAAATTTCGAGATGGAGAAACAGAATATTGTTGCATTTATGAGTTACGAAATAAATTTCAATCGAATTGAAAAGAAGAACCTCAACAAATTTTGCAGGAAACCATCCCCTTAGTCCATTTACTTCACCGATCCAGCAATGTTCATCTTTTTCACAAATAACTGTTATTATGTCATTCTTCCTGCAAGCAACAATATTCGTTACGAATAGATTCACTCATATGAAAGATTTTTTTAATGAAATTAAAAACTGGAATCGAATAAAAAAAACTGAAAACTTAAACCTGAATCCTAATTCATCCTCATCTTGCCGCCTAAAATCTAATAATGCTCTCGCACGACGATATTCGTTATGCCGCTTTTTTAAGAATTCCTCCTTTTCATTTCGCTGATCCTCTGCTGAATAGTCCGCCTCAAATAAAATTATGCATAATACTTTGGTGTTCGTCTGAGCAAATTTATGAACTGACAAAGAAAAATTGTCAAGCGATAAGTTGAAATGTATAAACCTGTAAATTAACTACTCTTTTAAACGACTCATCGCATTCAATGAAATATCGACAAATATGCAAAACGGCATCTCGTAAATCGACGATAAGTTCAGTAAGCCGAACATTTTTTGTCTTCGGGTCACTTTCCATATCCTAAAAATAATTCATAAATAGATGTTGATTTTGGAAAGCAATAACTTCATCACTGAAATGCAAAATGAATTAGAGCGTTTTAAACATTCAAACGAACGCCTTAGGTACTTTCTATTGCTGAAATACCAGGCAGGTCGTGAGGTGCAAAAAAGTTTTTTTTCCAGCTCTTTTTCACTTTCTTTATTCAGAGTTTTCTTCTGAGTTTCTCCCAACTTTTTTAATCCTATTTCCTTTGACAAATAGGATTTCAAAAGAAAGTAGCTTCACTTTTGAGCTTAAAATATAAAATTAGTTTGAATATTTGGAATTCGAATCAATTTAATATTTCTTGCTCGCTTCGACATAATTACTGACTTCACCATTTCAAAAGTGTTTTTTATATCAACTGTTTATCAAAAAACTTTTACAAAAAAGTTCTAAAGTAGAAGATATGAACCATATTATAAATGAAAATTTTCGACTTCAATTCCACGGTGAAGATTAAACGTGAAAATTAACACTTGATAAAATTTTCTGATATAAATTTTTGAAACCATGCATCATTTACCATTAAATAAGGTTTAGAACAAAATAAACTACACCTGTTCCTTGGATGAAGCAAATATTTGTTGCACAAAATTTTTTGATCCCGCTAGCTTACGCTTTCGAACATGCTGTTTAGGTAAATTTGTGACATTATTTGTGTTTATGATAAGTCCTTGGCTAGCTAATAGGATTGCTTGCTGATGTTTTCGAGTTCTTTCGATAAATTCCGTAGTTATGGAAAATTCAAAAGATGTACACAGTTCCATTAAATACCCTGTAAGCAATTTTGCAAGGAATGCATCTATTAAGTGGAAGAAGAAAAGGAGAAATTACCTGGATTACTTAAACAAGTTGGAATCTGCATTATTGTATTGAATAATTCTACTGCAGCGTTTTCGTTGTATTTCATTTCCATCAAATCATTCTCCTTCATTTTCAGAAGTGAGATTAACACCTAAAATAAAAGTAAGGAAATTTGATAGTTTTACAATTATTTTATTATTAGTTCTCTTGGGCACCGTCCAGTTGGGACGTCCGTGAGGAAACTGGCTATTGCATAGAATCATAGATAATCCAAATAATCAAGTCATATAGACAGTTTGAGAACTGGGATCATTGATCCTTCTCAAGACACTAATGCCCAAAGCACAGATGACAGAAGTATAATAGTCAAATACCAAACTAAAAATGAAATATTCTTGTTGATTTTGAATCTAGTCTTCTTTAATGTATGTCTTTGATATTTTTCACAACGAGGCGGCACACAACCGTTCAGACAAACTCAACGCACTACTAAAATATAAGGCAAACATTAGAAAAATTCTGCTGTAGTATTTACCCTGAACATCGTCACTCCACCAAAAACGAACAAACAATCCCAAACACGCAGCAAGACGCGCATGGAAAGAACTGAGGCGAAAGCTGTTAGAAACCAATTAACAGTAATTAATGACAACTCAACATCATTGTCTTTTAAAATACGATCCAGTTCAGGTAGATGAATACCAATTAGCTGCTGCGAAACTCGTTCATCTGCCTGGAATTCCGTTATGTTCTCGAATATCAATGTTTAATCCACGGAGTATGTTGAGAATTGACGGAATTACCTAATAATCTGATTACTTTATCAATGTAGTTTAGTCAGAAAGAATAACTTCTGTAGAAAAAGATAATAGGAATAAGAAACCCCAAGACAAAATTAATAAATAAGATTGAAAGATTGAATCGTTATTTACAAGAAAAAAGTATAGCCATCGTATAAAAACAAATGATTCATTCACCTGCAAACCAAGAAATGATCGACTGTAGTAATTGGGCGGGAATATATCTTCAATTAATGAAGCTATAATCCAGAATACTGTTTCTTCTGGACAAAACAGCAATAACGAAGCTGCAATAACACTCATTCCTTGACAGTAACCAACATCCGGATAAATATAAGCAATAGACTTCAAAATTCTTCGTAAACTTTCGATACCTTTACTATTGGGATGCCAAAAACATATATTGTTAGGTAAACTCCTGAAATCTGATTGTATTACAACACTTCAAAACATTTTCTGCATAAGGTTCTACATCACCTACGCTTAAATTCAAAAACATTTGAGAAAAGTTTGATCAAAATATAATTCTGAAGTTTCCCAACGAAAGTGGGTCTTCAATTTTCCAAAATTCTATTTATAACTGAAAATTAGCATCTTTCACCTTGGTAAATCCTTTTCAATCTGCGTGTTTATTGATGACTTATCCTTGTCGCACTGCTTGATTACCTCGACATAGCTGAAAGCACTTGCCGCTTTCTTTTTTGTGGCACCGCAAAACCTCGGCCAAAGAAAAGGCCGAAGCGAATGGGCGATTCCAACTTCATGGATAAGATTCATCAACTTCTCATAATCCAATTTCTCCACATCCACCTTCGACCATACCAACTCTTCTTTCACATCATCGTGTCCAAATTCAAGCAGTGCTATCCAGCGCATTCTTAAGAAAGTTACGCTATCAATTTTCGTTATTTACTTGTATTTTTTGTATCTTTAAAAATATTTACTCATTTATTTTTTAAATAACATCTGCCTTCACGTTTTTTTTAGTACTAAATAGAATACTAAAATAAAAATAGTTATACAGCATTGTATAACTGCGTATACTTCTTTGCTTTGCCACAAATAGGAAAATGATTATCACAGATACACTCGCACTAATTTTTGGAGCTCAGAATAACAGATTCAAATTTTATACCGATTCTGAGACGTTTCAACCGGTAGCAAATTGTTGCTATTAATTCTGCAATCGATACGGAATCCAAATTCGTCAAAGCTAAACAAAATAAAAATAAACTTTAAAAAATCCGTCATTCTGACGAAGCTGAATGACAATCGCTTTTTTAGCTCATATAATTTTATTTTCCTATTTTTATTCATATAGTTCAAGAATAATAACCTAATCGTAATCAAAACTAACTAGTGATGATGTCTGAAATACGACAGTTCATTATTTCAATTTCAAGGCAAATTTAGTTTTAATGAATTCCAGGCACACGGTAATGATAATAATACATTTAGGCGATATACTTTTTGTTGTTGTAGTTCCATTAATGCTTCATCGCTTCCTGCCAAATCATATTTTCAATGAAAAAAATTTTAGATTGAAATGGAAAATTTACATTTCCGACGCTTCCGCAAACGAATCAGGTAACAAGGTTGCATTGATTGCTGAAAACGGTTGTTCAGATATATTGAATATTGATTGGTGAACTGGAATATCGGCTTCCCTCTGCCAGTAATTTTCTCTGGCATAATATCTGATGGCTTTCTGATCTTCGTCATCGCTAATTGTCTCCGCATATTTTGCATCTTTGCCTTGAAAAGATCTTCTATTATAAATATTATCTAGGCTTCCAATTTGTACCCATTTCAATTTATGTTTTAATCGCTTTCAGGTAACTTCTATACTTATCTCTGTAATTCTCCAGAACTACAGATAGATCTAAGATAATGCTGAATTTAACGTAAAAATTCAATCAACTATTTAAACAGTTGAATTTCTGTAAGCTTGCTATAATTGGTAACTCCTCAATTCGAATTTTCAAAAAAAGGAACTACATGGACACAAGGTAAATTTCGATTTTAAATCTCATAACATTTGTAAACCAAGTGTATGATTGCATAACTAACCTTTCCTATACCTAGCCATTATTCTGCTGAATTCCCTCTGCAATAATATGAGTCGTTATCGTTCCATTTCGGCCAATAATTAATTGCAAACAAACGAAGTATCACAAATGCTGTACATCATATGTCTGCTTGTTCCTCCAGCAATTAACCTGATCGATATGCATATTACTACGTACTTTGTTCAAAATTGAACATCTGCTTTATGCAATCAAATACCAAATAATTATACAGTACACCTGGAAGTTTTGAAAGTGGGAAAGCTCTCTTAATAATTCAGAATTCATAACATTTATGGTGATATTAGGATGAAAACCTTTGTCCTGGGAGTGACATAAAGTTGTATGATGTGGGCGTATTGATTAAAGTTGAAGAATCTAGTTTAAAAAGCAGAAGAAAACAAAACAAATGCCGACAAAGGTATGCTGGTTCTAAGAAAGTGCCAAGAGAAAATGATAATTCACATATTTTAAAGGTAAATGAAGATCGTGATGACACAAGACATGAGAGCAAGTGGAGGATGTAACTAGCCAAACTAAGTCATATGAGGTCCGTTGTGGGGTGTGGCTAGCTCATTCCAAGGCTGTAGTATCCCATCCATGTTGTGCAGTAAGCTGCAACGAGGCAGGCCTTGTAAGCTGGATACATTATGGGATGATGACGTGGTTTCATTTAACTTCACAGACATCGCTAAACCACAACTTTCTATTTCCTACCCTGAAAAGTAAAACACAGAGAAGCATCATCGACTGACTAATATCAATATTCCCAAATCGATATTCCTTATCATGAAAACACGAAGTATTTTCATAATATAAAAATACGTCAAAAAATCAAAAGTTTTTTTGTATCGTGGAAATATCTCAGGGCAATTCCCTCCATAAAAAGGGAATTTTCTAAAAATGAAAGTTGTCAGTTCTCCCAAATTATTACAAACTTTGAGATTCCAACTTATTATGAATATCTTGTACATCAAAGATCTTCCAAATCATCGTAAACATCTTGTTTAATGATCCTGCATGCTTCAAGATTGTAAACCAACCCCATTATAAAAGGTATTCAGTATTTAGTATATATATTAATATAATATTGTTATTATTATTAAATTATGTTAATATAATATTGTTGATAATAATAATAATTAATAATAATAACAGTAATAATAATAATATAGTATATTCGTTACAATAATATATTTATTGCTATTGTCATTTATTATTATTATTATTATTATTATTATTATTATTATTATTATTATTATTATTATTATTATTATTATTATTATTATTATTATTATTATTATTATTATTATTATTATTATTATTATTATTATTATTATTATTATTATTATTATTATTATT